AGTTACTTATATGAATGAGTGGTTTATCGTAAGCATGAATAAAAATAGTCTATAATACAACAGATTAAATACAACACAGCAATAATATACACACTGGCCTGAAGAAAATGGGTGTTCATTCAAAGAAGGTTTTCCTATGAATTAATTAGTAGAAAAGTCCATTTCTCCTGTGCATTTGTGTCCCTTTGTTTCTGGAGAAAGCAGAATGAGAGCCGGCTCGCATTCCACAAGGTTGTAAATGTATCGGGTTACCATGAAACCAGGGTCTTGTTCGGCGTCCTGGGGTGTTACAAAGTATTTGTGAAATCTAGCTAACAAAATATATATTGTGTGTTGGAGTGTTCCAGACGCTACAATAATGATAAAATGAAACCAAACATATTCATAATAATATAAAGGATTCATAAAGATTTTTGCATTTCTAAAGCAGTGTGTATGTAAATATGTTTGCGTTATATTTTGTATTTATTGCACCTATTGTTCTTGTGTTCGTTGAATATCCAAACATACTAAAATATTGTAGCGTTCTCAGTAGGCCTGTCGCAATAATCAATATATCAACTTATCACGCAATATATGTACATGACCTCAATTATTTTTGCTGACGCATTATATCGCCCATTATATTTACTTACAAATTAATGTCACCATGTTCTGTACATTCCACTTGCGCTAAATGCTTTTTAGCGTTTCTTCTTTTATTTATTAATTCTTTAGCGCTTGTATGCTAAAGAGATCAGGCTGCCTGAAGTTTTTCCATCTTGGGAGGTCAAAGGTCACACTTCTGCAGCGTTTGTTTCAGAAGTCAGATTTTTCTCTGCTCTCGGAGTGAATCGACAAGCACCAAAGCGCAGACTTAATGTAGGAACGATTACTCATATCCGCTCTCCTTCCCACGGGAGGAGTCAGAAATAGATGGGATGATGGCTGGCAGAGAATGAAACAAGCTGAGAGCATGCTTATAAATGTGAAGATGCCCATTTGCTGGGGCAGGGCCGTGTGCACTTATACTAGTGTTGTGGAAAAACAACCTGAAATGCAGCATCTATTGACTTTCCAAAAACAATAAAAAACAAACAAACAAACAGCCAAATCAATAAATGTACAGCTACAATTATGTGAACTCCAGTGCTCATCAGAATGTGTCAGTTAATGCCACTTTGATTCATGTTGAACAAATTGGGGTTGGAAATGAAATCTGCTGGTGAATTTCTGAGAAGGACGTGCCGCCAAGCTTCATAAATTAACTACTCAATAATATGAAGGAAATTAAGGACTGGACAGCACTTGAGCTGCATATGAAGTTTAATGTCGGCCTAGTTTTTTTTAGACTTTTTATTGCCTTTATGTGAAACAGTTAAAAAAAAATTTCACAGCAGTTTTTCACCACACATTTTCATGTATATTTACTGCTAATATTGCTGGCTGCTATATGTTACACTGTAAATAGGTTGCTGTAAATTTTACAGTAACTTACTGGCAGTAAGTTTTTTTTTTTTTTTAAATCTAGATGTTAAATCTGCATGGTAGTTTAGTTGAAATGATAGCTCTTCTGAATGGGAAAAAAGCTGTTAAGCAATTTCAGAGAAAAGTATATGTATGCTGTATCATCTTTCAAATATTATTATATTTTATATAAAATATTAAATAACTATTATATACATTTACAAAAGTGGTTGTATATACATAGAAAGCATATTAAATGCAAGTAAAGTGTCTAATTTTTCAAATAACTTTTGTGAAAATAAAATGGGGTGAAATATTGATCCATCATCAATTGATACAAATACAATTAATTCGTTTTTAGGGGCTGCACTGTGATCATTAAATAATCTTTTAATGTCAACTAATGATTCTTGTTCTAAAGATTTTCTTGTATATAAACTATTGTTACACTGAACAACATTTTAGTGGGTGTCTTCTGTAAATAATGGTAAAAATGTATGATAGTGATTATTTTTTGCTCAGAAAAAATAAAACTAACAGGACACATTACAGGGCTCCAGACAAAAAAAGGAGCCATTGGCTCCTATAAGAAACAAATCTAGGCACCAAATTATTTTTTAAGTGCCCCAAAAGTCCCTTTAAAGTAAGTAATTTCACTCGGCGGCCATCTTTGAAACGCCTCTCAGGCATGCAAGTACGTGGGAAAGGAGACCAGAGGCCATTTTGTTTGAATGTATGTCAATGGAGGAGAGGCTTCACTACACTGAATAAACAGCTTTATAGAGGAAACAGTGTATCATTTAATGAATCAACAGCCGATTGGCTAATCTTCAACATGTTTTACACTAAACAATAGTTTTGGATTGAACACCAAGTGAACAGTTTACACCGGGAAAAAAATTACGTTTTATAAGAGAAGTCACAGACTCTTTGCGACAGGTGGGGTACAGCTTACGGCACTTCTCTTTCATTCCTATGCTATCTGTAAATGCTGATTGAGTGTCACACAACTGACTGAAATTAAGTAACGTCAAGGCTGTAATGTGATTGGTTATTAAGGCACATGTGATCCAAGTTGACTGTTATGCTTTCTCCAATATTAAGTAATACAGACAATCTCTGGCTGCAGGGACGCGATGACTTATATCGATTGGCTTATATCGAATAGAGCAGCCGTATTGAGCATTGGAATTTTACCCATTCAAAACTATACGAGTGACACGTCTTGGGTATTCTATAGTCTTTCATGCCACAGAATAAACATGTTTTATTTCTTTTTTTTTTAAACACCTTAACATTTTCAGTCGTACTGTCATGTGTTTATGTCTCCCCTCCTTTTACAGCATCAGTTTTCATATGTCACACATCCAATAATTTTTTCTTTGTTTTCTTTGTAACATGCAATTATATAGCAGGTGTTGATTTTTATCTTTATCTCCTTGCATTCTTTCTTATCATGTAGTCAACAGGTCAAGTAAAACTATGAATATGCAATATAGCGCATTTAGCAAAATGATTTTCTTTATAGTTATTTTTTCTAGCTGATTAATGAGCTTATGGACACCGAATGGTTATTCTGAGGTAAATGTATTGTTACCTGGCATTGTTTACAAGCTTTAAACGTTTTCCGCAGTTTGAAACACTGAATAAGCTATTACATGAAACATTTCAGTAAGCTATACTGTATCTTATAATAGACCTTTTGGTGTCTTTAGGTAGTAAAGAGAAAGATATGATGGGTTCACGTGCCGCTTGAACTGAGGCACTAAAGTGATCGCTCATGCAACATTTATGATCTCCAAAACGGTATTATTTGTTAGAATTTCATTATGATTTTGGCAGAACACAGCATAAAGATCTTGATAAGAAGAAGCCATATTAGTATACATTATAAACGAGAATTGTTAACGATATTGTTAATGTCCACACAGCTGACAGCTTTACCTGTTGCATTTTGTCAAATTGTGCATGAAGTAGTCACTGCTTTTCTGCACTTTTACTTCATGTCTTTGTCATTTTTGATCTCTCTCATGCTGCACAACTGGAGCTGCTTTTAGCAGTTGTGCTGTCAACACTGGTGTTTTTTTCCACTAAAACTTTGATGCGCATCGTCTCAGTTTATTATGTCAACATATCAAAAGATGTGATCAGAAAGCAAGCAGGAAAAAAGGCATTACATGCAAATTTATATAGTCACCAGTGGCAATCTCAGCAAAAATATCACTCACAAATTAATATTTTTGGTCGCAAATGTGACCATTTTAGTCACAGTCTGGAGCACTGCATTATAATGTACAGAAAACAATTATAACTGTATGAAACTTTCATTGTTTTCATTCCAGAACATTCCATTTCACCCAGACAGTCCAGACAGTTCAGTCATGAAACTCTAGATGGTGCAGGCTGATACGACCTTTACATGCAGTCTACTAGCAATCACATCATCTACTACATGGCACAAGCGGATTGGCCTCTGCTGATTCTGCAGCCAATGATATTTGTGTAGTCTGGTTCAGTGTTCGCTGTAAGATGGTCCTGCAGAGTTCACAATTCCTCTGAATCCCTCCACCTCCCCCAGCTCCACCTTTGTAGATCTGCCAAGAGATTTATGTATGCCTATTCATGAAGCAGCATATCTTGCATCTTCAAAGCAGCGGGTCTGCATATCTATTGGAAGTAGCAAGTCCATACTTGCACTGCAGCAGCAGCAGCAGCAGCAGCAGCATAGCAGGTTAAAATTTCAAAGACCAAATGAGTAACATTGTCATATCCATTAATACATTAGAATCATTCTGAGACTTTACAGTGAATTTATATATTGAGTTTAGGCTGTATTGCCTAGCACTAAAATCCAGTGATTGGCTTCTGCAGTAATGATTTGAGCAGTTAATGTTGGTGGGATGGCTTTAAGTGTGCGGAATATGGATGTAACGATTCACTGAGAGCTGGTTGAAAATCAATACAAATATGTGACGATTCAAATCAGTTGAGATGTTAAATGAATCATGATACATTTGGGGGTGAGTGTTTATATGAATGTATCTCTGAGGGGAACTGACTGTGTTTAGAAAAGTTTAGATGATATTTTCTTTTCATCTCGTCTCTGTATAATCAATATTAAAGCAGCATTCATAAGAGCTGCACTGCTTTGTTATCGCTGCTGTTTCACAAGTGCCACCTGCTGTCAGAGAGTGAATCTGCGTCTCATTTAGCCCGTCTGCTGTCTTTGTTTCGTGCAGACGTTTTATGCAGTATAGTTTCACAAAACTAAAGTCAGAGCATTCTGTTTTTGTTTTAAAATTTCAAATTATACAATCTAATTTAGATTAAAAAAGCTGTTCATGTTGCATGTATGCAGCATCTTTGTTTGGATTGTGATTCAAATGCAGTGGTTGCTTCTATTTTTGAATGGAAAGAGCACAGGCAAATCCTTTGTTTATATGAAGAGGGTTTTTTTGTCTTATTTATTTGATTAAATTTGGGGTTTGTTTTAATTTCACTTTAGTTTTGTTATTTGACATATTTCTGTTTCATAAAGTAATGTGAGGCATTTTGTCCAAAAAAGAATAAAAGGACACCTTTTCATTTATAATTTGCCTTAAATCTAATTTTGTTTAAAAAAAAATTGTGAGAAAATCTAATCGTGAAATCAGTATCGCGAATTGAATCGAATCATGATTTGAGCGTATCGTTACATCCCTACATGCTTAAAAATAAAGGTGCTTCAAAAGGTTCTTGAAGCGATGCCATAGAAGAACCATTTTTGGTTCCACAAAGAACCATTCGGTCAAAGGTTCTTTAAAGAACCATCTCTTTCTTACCTTTTTATAATCTGAAGAACCTTCTTTCGCCACAAAGAACCTTTTGTGAAACAGAAAGGTTCTTCAGATGTTAAAGGTTCTTTATGGAACCATTTTGACAAAAAGGTTCTTCTATGGCATCATGAAGCACCTTTATTTTTAAGAGTGTAGTGCGGAAATATGGCTTGTTGCTTTTACAGAGCTCTGTGTTTTATCTTGAAAAGAAAACACCCAATTGCAATCATCTTCCAAACCACCTGTCCCTCCAAAGTTTGTGCCCTTGAGTAATTACTCTGTGATGAACATCACGGCTGTGCCAGAAATGTCTTTCCCCTGCCCCTGGTTTTAGTATTTAAACATCATCGGCTGTGGGATAGGCCTCATCTCTGGCCGTTGCCCTCTCTTCCTCCTTCACTCCCTTTGTCCCTAATGCTGGCTGGATGATGTATGAGACAGATCTGGAGTGAAAGGTCATGTCCACGGGAGGAGTGTGTGAGTTTTAAAGAAGAGTGTGTGTTTGAGCAGCAGCATGTGATGTATTCCGAGCGGCTCTGAGGTGCGGGCAGCTGATGGAGCCACAGCAGGTACGCTCCAGACAACACATTCCCTTTCTAGACCCAAAAATCCCCAACTGAACCAAGCCCTGGAGTCCGACCCATAACCCCACTGCCCTGAAAACAACATCCTCCGCTCTACTACTAAAATGAAACATGGTTAATAACCTCTGAAACAACCCTGTTCCTGGAGCCCCCCAACATTGCACATTTTGAATCTGTCCTTCGTCTGAGATGCCTGTTTCAGGTCATGGAGTCTCTACTAATGAACTGTTGACCTGAATCAGGTGTGTTTGATAAGGGAGACATTCAAAATCTGCACCGTTCTCCACTGCTCTAGCACCACAATATTCTTCAATCTTTGAATGTAGACTGGAGAGAATGGTTCCAAATCAAACATGAAGGAAACTCTATTTTGGAAGTTTCAGAGTACTTTTATTATTATTATTATTATTAGTAGTAGTAGTAGTTTTTTATTGGTAGTAGTAGTAGTATTTTATTATTTATAGACTACTGTAGTATTTATTAAAATTTTTAAGAGAATATACATTTATATTTTTATTTTAAATTCATTTTCATTTTAGTTTAAGTTTTAGTAACTATGTTCTTTTGTCCATTTTTTTTATATTTCTATTTCTATAACTTTTTGATTAACAATTTCAGTTTTTAGTTTTAGTCATTTAGTATCTTATTTTATTTAATTGCCAAGACACCATTTGCAATATCTTTTTTACATTTTTCATCTAACATTTATATTTTGCTATATTTCAGTTAACAAAAGCGATTTTTAATAGTTTTAGTTAACAATAACAACACCGGGTATAGTTTTGCATCACCATCATCTGAGAGCTCATGACGCACAGCTGGAATCTGGTATAGAGATGATGTAATTATCTATTCAAAACAGAAGCGCTAGAGCATGGCATCATATTCTACTGCACATATTCTGATATTTTTGTAACTTTCTCTGGGAACTTTTCCCTGAGCAGCTCCATATCAAGCTGCTAAAGCCAACACTAGCTATATTATTATTTACTATTATTAATAAATATTACTATTTAAAATTATTTATATACTACTATAGTATTTATTAATATTTTGAACTAGCTTGCATTTTTTTTTTTTTTTTTTTACTTTTAGTAATTTGGTTTACACTTTTTAAATTGTAATATACAGTGGGGCAAAAAAGTATTTAGTCAGCCACCAATTGTGCAAGTTCTCCCACTTAAAAAGATGAGAGAGGCCTGTAATTTTCATCATAGGTATACCTCAACTATGAGAGACAAAATGAGAAAAAAAATCCAGAAAATCACATTGTAGGATTTTTAAAGAATTAATTGGATATTTATTTCAGTTTTAGTAGTTTTGGTACTTAAATATATTTTATATCAGTTAGTTGCAAAGGCAACATTTCTAAATTTCATTTAACTTTCACTGGGAACCTGATCTCCAGCGTTACCTGAGCACCCCCGTAATGCCAACTAAATTCATAATCAAGCCGCTAATGTAAACACTAGAATTTATTTAAGCCTATAAATTCCACTCAACAACTACAGATTTCAGTACTAGCACAAACACCAGAGAGGAATTGCTTTTTTTTTATATATATATATCTTCTTTATAGTCTTAAAAGTTTCCTCCAAACATCCCTTCGAAAGTCTGCATTCTGGTCAGGCTTCCACAAGAGTGGGAGGTAGATTCATTTCACTGAGGCACAAGGTGGTAAATAGGCTTGCAAACACTGCCACTGGTTTCCATGGTGCTTCAGAACAACATTTCAAAAGACTCAGTGTGTTTTATGAAATATGAATCATGATTCTAAGGCTTAATTCTGTTCTTTCCAGGGTGCTGGCTTGATTTCCTTCTCTCAGTAGCAATTTGAATAACCCAAGCCGGGCTAATTAACAGGGGAAATTCATTTATAGACGAGGATTAAAGAACTGTTCAAACCAAATGCTCCTCACACCACTTTGTTCACCATAATAGAAATGACAGTTCTGCCAAGAAGTCTCCACAGCCCCTGAAGACCACCTCAGAAAATTAATTTTACCCTTCTGATTTAGTATATCAAAAGTCTTTGTTGAATTCTGAGGAGTGTATGGAACAATGCACTATTGCGTAGGTGTGTGGGCACTGAGTGGCATTTGTGCCCCATCTACACGCCGTCATTCTCCTTTTCCCTTTCACTGTCTATTTACCTTTTGCATTGCATTCCACACACGTTCCTGATCAGAGCGCTTGCCTTCAAGGGTGTCCATGGTGTCTGCCATTAGAGCCAGCAGCTGCCAGGAGGAGATAAAGATGATCACAGCTCAGTTCACACAAACGCCATAACTTTTCTAAACACTGCACCTTAAAAGCTAATTAAAAAACCATTTGTTGGCGGCTGATTTTTGTAAGTCATCCCTCATATAATGAGGACCTCCTTCTTGTTCCCCTTTGGGTGGTGGAGAGGGGGAGGGGCGGAGTTGGGCTTTTACAAGGCTGGTGGTTAGAAATTGAAACAATGTGGACAAATTGAGGAACAACACTCGTCCATCACAGGGCACAGCAGATGGGAATGTACACGCTGCACGCTGAGACCCATTTAGCTGAGAGAAGGAAGGGGAAGTTAAATACTGAAAGAGACACTAAGAAACAGATAAAGAGACAAAGAAGAAGGTGTATGTGCCAATGATTAATGAATTCATATTAAATTAATATATTTTTTTTTTTACATCTTTATGGGCAAGTAAAAAAAAGACTGAGATTGTAATCAAAAACATTCTGGAAAACTGGAAAAAAAAGTTCTTGTTATTAAGCAAACAAAAAAACAAAACAAAAAAAAAACAAACAAAAAAACATAAACAGTGTCAAAGGCGAATAATATTATGAGGATGATTAAAATATGATTCATATTTACTTTTTGAAAAATTATGCACATTATCTGTTATAACCTGTAGGACAAACATTACAAAACCAAACTCGAGAATATATATATATATATATATAGAGAGAGAGAGAGAGAGAGAGAGGAGCAAAAGAAAATTGTCAAAGAGCCTACAATTTTTGTAATATACAGTTTCAGGTTTAGACAACTGGAATAGAAATCTAGAGAATAGAAATGCTGAGAATGTTATTCTATCTTTTTTTTTTTGGTAGATCCTCATGACTGTAGACCCTCTTACGACGGCCTTTTAGTGCCATGTAAAAAACAATTAAAAAATCTAAGATTACGAGATTAAAGTCGAAATGTTTCGAGAATAAAGTCGAAATGTTTCGAGAATAAAGTCGAAATGTTTCGAGAATAAAGTCGGAATGTTTCGAGAATAAAGTCGGAATGTTTCGAGAATAAAGTCGGAATGTTTCGAGAATAAAGTCGGAATGTTTCGAGAATAAAGTCGAAATGTTACGAGAATAAAGTCGAAATGTTACGAGAATAAAGTCGAAATGTTACGAGAATAAAGTCGAAATGTTACGAGAATAAAGTCGAAATGTTACGAGAATAAAGTCGAAATGTTACGAGAATAAAGTCGAAATGTTACGAGAATAAAGTCGAAATGTTACGAGAATAAAGTCGAAATGTTACGAGAATAAAGTCGAAATGTTACGAGAATAAAGTAGAAATGTTACAAGAATAAAGTCGGAATGTTTAGAGAATAAAGTCGAAATTTTACGAGAATAAAGTCGCCCGAGCGGCCACATCATTTTACTGGGATGAGGAAGAGTCAATTTTAAGGACTCGCGGAAACAGTTTAATATCAAGAATATGATATTTATTAACAGACTGAACAGGAACAACTTTTTATCTTAACATCAGCTCACACACCCAATCGACATTCCTTTGGGGGTGCTGTAGCTCTCTTATTTAACCCTTTTTTAATACACTACAAATAGCCTATATGTGGGATTATTAGCAGAAATCATACCCAGGGCTCGAATTGAGGGGGGATGCGGCGGGGGATGGCATCCCCCTGGTGGGAAAAAAATGACAAAAAGCATCCCCCCTAACCATCCCCTTTAGATTAATAATGTTGTGTATTATGTAAAATTTATCGTGCAAATAAAATGTTAAAATTCTCTACTTATGATAATTCATGAACTAAATAACGGAGATTGGCCAATCAGAACTCGGTAGCCTACTGTAACAAGCTTCCACAAGCTGAAGCAAGTTTCCTTCATTTTTCGTGCATAATGGTTCAAGCGCAACTTTTGAAGTTCTTTAAAAAGAAGACAACAGAAGGTATGATTTTTCCTTTATTAGAATTTAAAGGCATTCCCGACATTGTTATTGCGCTGTATGTCTGACTGTGAGGGACTGAGAGACGACAGGAGAGCTGACGACGAGTAGCCTATGTCACCGACTTTGCAAATAAACGAACAAAAACACATCTTGAGAGTCCAGAAGCATTCACTGCGCGATGAAGCCCATTAGAATGCAGTTCGAATGCCCTTACAATTCAAGCAATGAAAGAAAAAAATACTCATGTAGGAGTTTTTATATTCATTGCACAAGCTGAATATCAGAACATAAATATGCTAATAATTTTATACAACAGTATAGAGCAACGCGATGTTTCATTCCTTGAATGAATCTGTTTTTGAACGAATCATGTGAGCCAGTGATTCAAAGGTCCATTCACTTGTTTAGTTTCTAATTGAATCAGTCGTTTTGAACGACTCGTTTGAATTGAATGATTCAATAAATCATTTATTAAAACAGGGATTTGTTGCCATCGACTGGCGGTTTTATTGTCTTCTTTATTTATCCATGACAGTCCTAAACCAGCCAAGGTGCCAGCAAAATATTGTTTAATTAGCAGTAGGCCTATTGACCCAAATCCCTCAATTTCAGGCCCCAGAAGGAAAAAAAAAGCTTAAAAATAATAGTTTGTTTATTAAGGCAAATTTTTCATTAAATAAAAACCTTTTTAGACAAATTTTGTAATAATTGTGTAAAATTAGCTACGGGATAAACCCCAACCTGATAAACCAGGCCTACTTTTAATATAAGTCTCAGCTTTCAATATCAGTTTTATAGCGAAACTCAAATTATGTGTCTTACAATAATGTGTTTTTCAAGCTCTTTAATGATCTGATCGCTGTATTTATGTGAACCAGTTCATTAAATTATACTGTTTTCTTCGTGAAAATTCCAAATTTACCACCTACTCCGCAAAAACGTCTGTGGCATCCAAACTTTTATTCCGCACATGTAGCCTATTTAATTAATAAAACGTTCTAAAAGTTGAAGTGGGCTCCAGCTCGTTAACATAAGTTATGTTGATTTCTTTTCTGAGGTAGCCTGTAGGCTATAACATGAAAGTGACTATTCACAAGCTGTTTTATTCATGGTATAATACAGTAAATTAATGACTGTATTATACCATGTACTTCCATTCATTATTTGTACGCCAGCCACCCAGTAATCGCTAAAACCTAGCGATCGGTCACGCCACATTTAAGAGCGTGAAAAAAACACATTATTGTAATATATTGTTTGTATTTCTAAAACTGACAGATTTTGAAAGCTGGGACTTTGGAATATCTCCCGGTGCTCCCAATCCGGGCCACTTGCATGTGCAAAAGGCTAGAATATACTCTCAAAATATTATAACTTTAATCTTTATTTTCGTAATATTTCGACTTTATTCTCATAGTATTTTGACTTTATTCTCGTAATAGTTCGACTTTATTCTCATAGTATTTCGACTTTATTCTCGTAATTTCGACTTTATTCTCGAAATATTACGACTTTAATCTCGTAATCTTAGAATTTTTATTTATTTTTTTTAACGTGGCACTAAAACGCCATCGTACCCTCTCGACTGTGATGAAATTACCACAAATGCAATAATTTTATGGCATGGCAGCGAAAACTAAATACAATATTCACAATTGATTGAGTGAAATTTGTATGATAATTTAAGTAACTTTTTGCTGAAAATTATATAAACATTTTTCAAAACTTTCTAAGATTATTAAGAACTTGGCACATTTGATTCAAACTGTGGATGGAAGTGGTTGGCCACCTGCTTTACTAAAGTGCTGTTTAAGTAAGGGGAGCTGCCTCTGTAACTCCACTCTCTACATACTGTACAGCACATACCATCTTCACATAATTGCTCTCTATACTCTTATTTCTATTCATGAATATAAGAACATACCATTTCCAGAAGCAGCATGTGGCCCTGAACTAGGTTTGTTCACAAAGATGACAAAAAAACGGTCTTTTAAAGCTACTGTATATACTTCCAGCTTATTTATATAGAACTTCTGTCAATGAACATAGATGTGTGATACTCACTGCTATTTCTATATAAGTACTCAGGTCTTTGTTATTTGTCAGAATGATTCTGGGTGGTATTGTATTGCGCCCATACAAACATCACGCTAATTGAACACCCTGTGGCTCTCTATTCATGGCAGATTTGTTCGCGATCTCACATACATCACACTGTATTGATCTGGGCTAATCTCACCACTGTGGAGCGCTAATCTAGTAAAGAGGCAATTATGGTGCTTCAGCATATGCCAGAATGAGATTTATGCCACCTCCTTCTATTCGTTCTATTTTCTTGCTCATTTTCTCTGTTCTTTTCCATCACGTCTATATCTGCAAGCACAATAGCAGTTGTCTTCTTTGTCGACACTAGTTTCTCTTTCAGTCTCATAACTATTCACAACAGAGCAGTTTTTTATTGCCGTGCATAATTCAGGACTTTATTAAAACAAGCTGGCCCGGTTCTGCTCTTGTGGTGTGATGTTACTTGATCGCTCCCTCAAAACGGTGCATCAAGACTCTCTTGCGGTAAGACCAAGGAGGTCTATAACTTGAACCTGAGGAAAGCTTACTGTTTTTCTGATAGCGCCATAAAATCAGCATTCAAAACATTTTCATTCACAAGCTCTTAATTAAATTTGATTCTGATTTATTTGGGTATATAAGGGCTGTCCGGAAATTATCCAGCCATGTAATACCAAAACCCTCTGCAAAATCCTTTGCAAAAAATGTCTTCCCTTTCAAAGGTGATTTTAGTTTTTGGAAAGGATAGAAGTCGCAGGGCACCAAATCTGGGCTGGAGGGGCGCTGAGTCACCTGGGTGATGTGATGCTTCGCCAAAAAACTCTTAACAAGACGCGATACATGGGCGGGCACATTGTCGTGATGAAGCTGCCAATCACCAGTTGCCCATAGGTACGGCTGTTTTTGTCATATTGCATCTCTCATCTCGTATTTTTCATATTACATGGCTGGATACTTTCCGGACAGCCCTCATATGTTCATTTTGCTAATGTAAGAAATTAACCATTAAAAGAATTGACTCAAGTTGATACAAGTTATTAGGATAACTGGACTACACACATAGATCTGTATGTTTTTGATTCTCTAAAAAGAACAGACTAACAGTCATTAGCATAAATTGAGTCATTAATTCAGGAATCACAATAAACTGGTTGTGCCGTATGATTTTAATTCACTAAAATAATAGACTGGAATTAGACTGGTCATCTTGTATGTTTACCCTTAAGAATAATTCATTCAGAAATCAAATAACCGATTCTTAATAGTAGTTCATTTGGGAATCAGACTACACTGGTTGAACTGTCCATTTTTTTATTTATTAAAAAAAGAAATCTCATAAAAGGGCAACCCATTTTTAATAAGCTATTTCAAAAAGAAAAAAACCTGCTCCAAACTGTTCAGTTGAGTGAATATTGAAACAATATTGGGATTATTCAAATGAAGATTAATAAAACAAATGTAATTATTTTTACCCAGTCTTACTCTTGAATGGCTGCACTGTAAGAAAAACAATCTGTAGAAAAAGGGCAATGGCAATTTTCATCCAGGACATTATCTGTTAAGTTTAAAGTCCCCATGAAATCAAAATTGAAGTTTTTTTAGTATGTTAGCCTTAAGATTATATATAAGCCAGTGTGATCCAAAACAATTACAAAATTCGCATTTAGAAGATATAAGCATTCAAAAACTTATTCTAACTTCTGCCAAAATGGATGAATGATTTTGATGACATCACCCTGCACTTCAGCTTCTCATCAAACTTTCTGTCCAATCAAATGCTCTCTAGAATCTGAAGTGTCCCGCCCCCTACACTATAATTAGACGCTGAAGCTGCGGCTGAAATTGGTCACTTGTTCACGGAGTTAGTGTTTTCTGTATGGTCAGTGTAAATATGCTTTCAAAAGAAGATAAAAAAAAAAGTCTGGGTTTGCGTTGTCATTAAAAATACACCTGCAAGGCTTTTGAGAACAAAGAAAAACAGAAAAAACTAACATAAATAAAAAGAATCAAATAAATAGGCCTACAAAATATATTGTTCACTTAGCCTAAATAATTAACAAATTAAGATAACAAAACGAAAACACACACTGAATCCTTATGTGCTTTGAAGAACCACATGTTTTTTCGTCAGACATAAAAATAAATAGCAGGCCTACTTCAGAGCACAACTAAAAAAATTTACGTGTCAACGTTGTGGGGCACAGTCTGGAGCGCAGCCTGTTCTGCAGCGTTGATCCTTGTGGAGTTAGTGTTTTCTGTATGGTCAGTGTAAATATGCTTTCAAAAGAAGATAAAAAAAAAGTCTGGGTTTGCGTTGTCATTAAAAATACACCTGCAAGGCTTTTGAGAACAAAGAAAAACAGAAAAAACTAACATAAATAAAAAGAATCAAATAAATAGGCCTACAAAATATATTGTTCACTTAGCCTAAATAATTAACAAATTAAGATAACAAAACGAAAACACACACTGAATCCTTATGTGCTTTGAAGAACCACATGTTTTTTCGTCAGACATAAAAATAAATAGCAGGCCTACTTCAGAGCACAACTAAAAAAATTTACGTGTCAACGTTGTGGGGCACAGTCTGGAGCGCAGCCTGTTCTGCAGCGTTGATCCTTGTAGCCAATCATAGACGTATCTGTTGATTTCATGAACGCAGTGTCCAATCAGAAGTGGTTAAGCTAGAATCCATTCACCGCTCATAAATTAGGAGATTTGTTCAGTGTTTCTGAGTTGTTTGCGCGTTTGCGAATCCACTCATTAGAACAAAATGTACACACAATGTAAATAAGAGATTAATTGTGCAGTAGTGTAGAGCTTCACTGAATATAACATAACTTTGTGAGATCACGAAGAGCTGAGACGAGTGACAGCTTTTTATTGATTATGAGGGGGAGCTCTCTCTGCTCGCTTTCTAGGATTATAACCCATTCAGAATTTGAATACATTCACTCACGGATTCACTCTCTGATAACCATTTTTCCAATACTGCCTTTGGCATTGCGCTGCCTTTATTACTTCAGTTAAGTGACAGTGGAGCAGGTGCTTGCGTAGTGAAATATGTCTGTAAGCACATGTGGTTGCACGTATCGACACCCCCCCGACATAACAAATACCTATAGAATATTTTTCTTTAACAATGCAGCAAACTTTTTAAAAAATACTTGAAAAAAATATATACTTTTAAAACCTTTTAACTGAGCATTCTAACTTTCAGTTAACGGTTAAATGGACAATATGAGCATCCCTAGTTACAGCATCTACCAGCAGAGGCTTACTGGACCAGCTTGGGTCAGAGCCCATCTAAAACTGTTCTTAGATCAGTGTTGTGTTCTTAAGATGGCCCAGAGCTATCAACAGATCTGCGTAAGTAGCTCAGCCTGTTCACAGCGAGGGGAACACTTAAATAGCGATAAAAGGAGATAAAGGAATGATCTCTATGTAAATGTGCGTTTAGACTAAATTCCCACTTCAGACCGATCTGAATCCGATAGAGAATGTTTATAATCCTTTGATTTCGTTTCGTTCTTGTATTTTTCAGTGCATGCATACTCAAGGGATCACCACGCAGTCTCATTCCAGCTGCCTGCTTCCTCCACCTGTACTCAGAGAGGTAGCTTGGCCCTGTGCAGCGCTTTATCTGCATATTTTAAATGCCTTTTGGAGGAACATTCATTTGAAGTTGGAAATGAGGAGAATAGCTTTGTTTCCATGCAACTTTTTTCTTTCATCAAATGACATTATAAAGCACAAGAGAAAAGTAGAAATCAGCAGCCAAAAATTTGCTACAGGAATTTCTGCCATGAGAATATGCAAACACATAAAATTTCAATGGAAAACAAAAGGAGTTATTTAAAGCAGTATGCCTATGCTGCTTTTGTACAGTTAATAACCGCTTAAATTTAAGAATGTATCTCTCACAAAATTATTGAATGGCTTCAGAATACTTGGAATTTAGCCAGTGGGTTGTATCTGAACAAGAAGTACAATTTAGCATACTTTTAAAAAGAGTACTTATTACAGATATTATATACTATAGTAGAATATACTTACTATAAGTGCAAAATGTTTTCAAACATTAATTGCAATTAAATTAAAGTGTATTAGTTTAAATTAAATGCAATTAGCTTAACAACATTAGAGTTTTTTTATTCACTTAAGTAGGACTTAAATACATCTTTATGCATAATTTCATAGAATTTTTACTTCTATTGTTTTTGGTAATAAAACAAAATGTGAAAAATGTGTACTAATGAATTTATTAAAAGCATTTATGGTAAACTAAAACTTTTCCAAGATGTTAAATGTTTCCAAAAAGTAGACTTACATGGCCTTTTGATTTTATTAATACTATTATCTGCAAGTGAACTTTAAAAATAATTATACATTGAAGAGTTGAAGTACACGACAAGTGCATATTCAATAAAATGAAAGTGCCCCTATTATGGATTTTTGAAAATTACCTTTCATGCAGTGTGTAACAGCTCTAAGTGAATGAAAACATCCTGCAAACTTTTAAATCTGAAAGTGCACCGTGTATAAAGTAATTGTCTCTCAAAAGCAAGTCGACTCTGAATCATTAAAACGAGTCATTTTTAAAACTAATACCAAGCTGTTTCATGTTGACGTCAACATGAAACATTAGCATATTGCTCGCCACTTGTTGGTCTTTTCGCATTGGTCTGAATGAAAATGCAAATTCATTCTTTGCCACTAGGTGCCGCTTTTGCCAGTAGCCCCTCACTGCAGAACACAAGATCCAGGGGGCGGGGTTGGATCCACATCTAGGGGGTGGAGATGGGTAGGTTTAGGGATCAGGGGGTGGAGACGGGTAGGTTTAGGTATATGTAAGGGGGGAGGAGTTGGATCTGGATCCAACCACGCCCCCTGGATCTTGTGTTCTCCAGTGAGGACCATTTCGCTTTTGCGGAGGTAAAAATAGCGGTTTCCCCGGTAACGCTGTATACAAAGCAGCACTGAGCTCACAAACTCCGCTTTATCAGGCATTACAGGCATGATTAAATGAAATCAATCCAAACCAAATTAAACCAAACCAACCACCGCAGACTAGCATCATGCAAAGGTGGGGTTTGGAAAAATGAATCGTTGAGCGAATCATTTGGGAGTCGTTGAGCAAGTAAGGTAAAAATAAATGCATATTATAAGACAATGAAAGTGTTTTTTGACCTTGCATGCATGTCAACCTGTTATTTGAGACTCCCAAAACCAAAATATGAACCTTTCATTCCCCATAATAGGGGTATTTTAAGTGCACATCTTTTTCACAGCGGACCACTTTTATGATTCTTTATAATGTGTGTTTGTCATTTTTGGAGCTTGACGGCCCCTGGTCCCCATTCACTATCATCGTATGGAAAATATCATCAAGAACATTTTTCATCTATCCCTTTGTGTTCCATGGTAGAGAAAAATTATTTAATAGATTGAGGGGAAGAGGAAAAAGTAACTGTCTCACCAGCTCTGTGCCAGAAGGACTGATGTCCTGCAGGTAACGTGCGACCGCCAGCTGTGCCAGTCTGTACTGCAGTACATGCGTATGTTCTCTGAACCTATTCAGCTGTCCCAGGATGCTAGCATACTGCAGCCGCTCTATGAGTCCAGATCCTGTGGAAAATCCCACCTGAGCACCCAGCAAAAACATGCTAATTTATACACTGAATAAAGAACTGATTTAATTTATTTTCATTTTCAAATAATTTAATAAAACAATTAAATACTTTTTTTTTTTTTTGCTATGGTACTGAAATTGGTTCTGAAAATCATTTGTTGTAATGTATAATTAAGAGCTCATATTAAAGAGCTGATTTTTTTTTTGTTAAGTCATGGCCATAAACTGTAGGCTACGTTTTTAAAGACTTCTGTAGAGAGGAATGTATTACTAGGAAATGATCCTTGTCTTTTATTGTCGCTGTAATTACATTAAAAATGTCCTGGGAAAAGTCCTGGAAAATGATATTTGAAAAAGAGTGGGAACCCTGATCAAATATCATTTTTGGGTGAGTAAATACTGAAAAACTTACCCCAAGTTTTGGGTAATTTTTTCCACTGAGAACCTTAAACTGAATAAGTTCTGCGTTCACTATTTGAAAGTACACAGTCACTCAAACAACATTCAAGCAACTCACACTATTCACATTAGGGCTTTAACAAATTTCTCAACACGAATGGCATTCACTGCTTTGACTTCCACGTGAATCTGACGCAAATAATATCACAGGAGGGATTTCTTGAAGTGTTTATGGCAGCTGAATGTGTTGTTATTGGGTTGTGTGTACAAGTATGTTTCTGTCATGTTTCCTTGATGCCCTGAGTTGTGCAGTATGTAAATGAAGTCATTATAAATTGAAAAAGGGACGCTGACCTTTTCCACAGAGAGTAACAATACAAAGAAGAAGAACAAACACTTTAAAAAAAGTGTCAGCATACGGTGCTTTTGTTTGAAACTGACAGCTCCCAGTGCTAAAGCGTCCCTCAGAGCCGTTTCACACATGCCGCTGCAGTGCTACAAAAGCAACTCCATGTTCCCTGATGATTCATTATGTCAAATACCTTTTGGCATCTTGTTACACGTGTTCTTCTCATGCTGAAACTTGACAAAAGGCTACAAAATGTTGCAAGTCAAGGTGAAAAACTGCTATTCTTCTGCTATTTTATGGTACGCTCAACTCCGCCCCCCTTCCCAAGGTCACATCTTAACCGTTTTCCCATGTGGACCGTTTTTGGCCTGTTGAGGTTGCTTGTCTAAATAGTGCTCCACTCAATGCCTTTCTAGACTCCTTTTATTTCGTGTGAGCTCTGTTACTCTCCAGTGTCATTCATTCACTTTATGGTCATTTTTATTACCAACACACATCCCCCTGCATCATTTTTCACCACTACTGTCTCAGTAGATATTTCATCTCAGGTGTTTTTTCATCGCTCCACACTGTTTACTTTCCATATGCCAACCAAAGGAGACAGTGAGCTGGTTAGAGAAAAAATACATACGTACATAAACTGTACATACATACAGTGGATATACCCCTCTTTAAAATAATCACAGTGTGTTGCTTTGCAGCCTGAAATGAAGATGGACACAGTTTTTGTTTTATCCAACTGTATTTACTCAGTGCAACTTATAACATCCAAGTGAAAGATATAACACCAACATGTCAAAATGTTCTGTAAAAAACAGAATCACTGAGTTGGAAAAAGGATCATCCCCACTTTTGTCAGTATTTTGTTGAACCACCTTTTGCTTTAATTACAGCCTGTTGTCTGTTGGGATTTGTCTCTGTTTCTACTAAATTTGCACATTTAGATTTTGCAATATTTGCCCACTCTTCTTTGCAGAACTGCTCGTGTTCTGTTCAATTTGATGATGACCATTTGTGGACAGCAGTCTTCAAGTCATTCCACAGATTTTCAATGGGGTTTAAGTCTGGACTCTGGCTAGGTCATGCAAGGACATTCACTTTTTTCTGCTTCAACCACTGTGTGGTCAGTTTTGCTGTGTGCTTTGGGTCATTGTCATGTTGGAAGATAAACCTTCTTCCATTTAAAACTTTCTGGCAAAGGGAATATTTAAGTCCTTACATTAAAGTTCACACAAACTCTTTTCTCCGCAGTGGCTGGTCGCGGTGGGTTACAGCAGTCAGCTCGGTAAAACTCTCTCCAAGATCATTCTGTGTTCCCATTATACTTGATTTGTAAATACATGTCTATGATTTTGCAAAAAGGACTTTATCTTCTTGCCAGAGTTTAATGTTGTTTTGTTACTTGCTACCGGGTGTCTGTGAGAACAAAACACGGGCGTAGAAAAGACTATAAATAGTTTTTAACGTGCACAGTAACTGAAATTTAAAACTGTTAAAAGAAAGGCTCAATAACTGTTGCACAGATATAATACACTACGCATCAATTTCTCTTCCCTTTGTGCTTTGCAGTTTTTAACACGAAGCGCTTCCAATGTGCGCACATTGTAAGCGCTTCGTGCTCATAGACTGTCAACCCTCTATATTGCGAGTAAATCACTCGCATATGCGACTAAATCTTCGCTCTGGGCGACTAAATGATGTCTAATATTAGCCAATGGCTAATCAATTCTCAGATTTTACTCGCCAGTGTGTGAGTTGGAGGCTGAGTATATGTTTAGCACAGATATATTTTCACTCACAGAACACTCTG